GCACGCACGCACGCGCGCGCACACACACGCACGCACGCACACACGCGCGCGCACACACACGCACGCACGCACGCGCGCGCACACACACACACACATGCACAAGCAGCGCTTCGCTCCTCTTCGGCTCAGCCTTCTCTTCTCCGCTCGCCCTTCCCCCCTCCCTCCCGCTGCTCCCCGGTGCCCAGCAAGTGACGATTGATCCACTGACACACTACCTATCCTCATCCCTCTCCCCTCCTGCCTGTTGTCCAACTGCTCAGTTTCCCGCCAAAGCCGCCAGCCCGCGTCTTCGGTCACCCAGAACATGTCAACTCGCGCACAGGGGAACCTCCCCCCCACGGCCACCCCGTCGGACCGGCAACGCTCCATTCTGGGCGGCCAGCCTCAGGCAAAGCAAGCAGCCACGGTCACGGTCGCTGCCGGCAGCCACTCGGCCGCCGGTACTTCGGCGGCCACTCCCCCCGCTCGACAGCAGCAAGACCCTGCCCCCGCCGCCGCACCACCGGCGATCGACTACTCGGAGTGCCAGGTTGTTGGTACGCGCGTGTCGTGAGCAGGCACACATGCCAGCTCCTTTTCCCTGCGCCGCCCTAGCGAGGCACCATTGCCGCCCCCAGCGGGCATTTGCTGACGATCATGAACTGACCCTGTCTACTTTCTCCGTGCTTTTTGATGATGTGTTGGCCGGGCGGGGGATGTGCGCAGACGTGGAGTCCAGCCATTTGGAGCCCCTGATGCTTGGCGGCGGAGGACCCAAGCGCCTCGCTGTTGAGCTTGCGTCGGACGACGAGCCCTCGGGCGCCCCGCCCCGAGGCCCTCTGCTCCTGGCCTCGCCCTCGGGCGCCCCTGCCGGTGGGCGGCCCAATCATCGTCGCGCACCAGCGCCGGGGGGACAGCTTGGCCCCGGGGCCAGTGGTCTGACCGCTCCGAAGCACAACGCCACTCAGCCCAAGGCCGCCACCAGCGTCGAGAGCAAGGACAGGGCTGCTGCCTCTGTCCCGGCCAAGTCTGCCACCACGGCCGTCGAGACGAAGGCCGCCCCTGTTCCCGCGCAACCGGCCAGTGCCCCGGCCCCTGCCAAGCGCTCCTTCCTGGGGGGCCTTTTCGGCCGTGGGTCTGACAGCAATCACCAGGCGCCCGCCACGGATGCGGACGCCAAGGCAACGGCCAAGAAGAAGATGGCCATCCCAGCCCCGCCGTCACCCCCGCCGAAGGACCTGTACCCGGCCCGGCGGCCGCTGCGCGTGTCCAAGCGCCCCCGCGCCCCCATGGCAGCCTCGCAGGCGCCGCCATCGTCACCGGGGGCCGCCACCGCCGCCCAGCAGCCCCGGAAGCAGCCCGGCCTCAGGCGGCAGGAATCCCAGCAGCGCGCACATGCCTCGCCGAGTGGGGGCCCGAGTGCAAGCTCGTCTCAGACCGAGACCCGGTCCCGTATCTGGGACTACCTGCTGATGGACGAGCTCTTTGATGTGGCCTCCTCGCCGGAGGACGCGGTCTCGGACGCCAAGTCCCGGCTGCTGGCCGACGACGGCCGGACCGCCTTCGATGCGGCCGCCCGCGACCGGGCCGACACCCAGCGCTTTGCCCAGCGTCTGTATGACCTGCTGACCGCTCCGGAGGACGCCTCCGAGGCAGGCGCTGCACCTGCCGCCGGCGCCGGGGCCGCTCATTCTGCTGCCCCCCCTGCACAGGCCGATGCGGCGCCCAGCCGGCCGAGGTCCCCGCCCCACTCGCCGCAACACCATCCTCACCCCCACCAGCCCCACCACCACCACCAACACAAGGCCGGGTTTTCCTCGGAGGAGTTTTTCTCCACCGACTCCTTTGTCAGTGCTTGGGGTGCGCCGAGCCAGCGTCCCGCCGAGCAGCAACAGCAGCAGCAGCAGCCCCGACAGCATGATGGCCTGTCGGTGGCGGTCGGGGGGGGCCGGTCGTCCTCTTCGTCCCAGCATCCGGCCGCCCCTCCTGATGACAAGATGTTCGACGCGGCGCACTCGCCCTCCAGCCTGGAGACCATCATGTGCCGGGCGACCGCGGCCGGGCCCGGAGGTGTTCAGGCTGCCGAGAGTGCCGGGCGTAAGTACTGATTTTGATGCGCATGCCCTTCGGCGCCCATATTGGGTCCCTCACTTTCCCACAGTGGCGGCGCTTCGCGCCTCGGGCGAGGGCGAACAGCAGTGCAGGTAGCATGCGAGAGACACATGGCACTCGAGGTTCCGCGCAAGGTCGACAATTGGATCGTGACCGTGTTTGCGTGGGCTTTCCCATGTGTGTTTGCGCGCTTCTGTGTGACACGTGCACACGCACACCGGTGTGTGTCTCCTCGCCTCGCTTTCTCCTTCTCTCTCTCTCTCTGCTTCACCGTTTTGTGCGTGTCAGTGGAGAGAGTCGCCCCCCTGTGATTGCCGGCTCGCGCCCTTCCCGCGCGTATGGTAACCCGGGGCGAGGGGCTCTTTGCTCAGCGTCCTCCCTCAGAGCGGGGACCGCCATGTGCGCATGTATGCCCTCTCTCTCTCACACACACACACACACACGCGGCCATGTGGTGTGCCGTGGTGTGAACGCGCGGCGAATGAACACACGCTGGAGCATACAACAGGGCTGCTTGGGAGCTTTGCGTGGGGGGGAGGAGGGGGCGGGGAGGTGCTCACATGCGCGCACGCATATCCCAGCAAAGGAAGGAGCAACTCAGAAGGAGGGGGAGAAAGCCTTCACAGGGCCGCCAGAGGCGCGTGTGTATATTCAAGCTTCCAAAGGGAGAGGGGGGGGTCAAAAATGGCGCGGGCACCGGCCTGCCGGGCGGCTGGTGCCGGCAATGTAGTAGGAGGAGAGAGAGTGATAATGTACAAGTTCGTGGAGGGGGAGAGAGAGGGGGAAAACGAGGCAGAGATGATACTGATATGCTGCCAATCGCAGGCAGGATGTGTCGAGGCACGCGGCCACAGGCGCGCATGGGCGTGCCCTGAGCGGGACGAGGGGCAAAGGAAGCCGGCCGGTGGTGGTGTGGCACATCAGAAAAGGGAGTTCAGGGCCTCGATCAGGCTGAGCTCGTCGCTCGGGTTGTCCGTGTCCGAGAGAGACCGCATCATGAGGGTCGTATCATCGCCGGAGTCGTCGTCCTCGCTGCTGCCGGGGCCGGGGGCGGCGACACCCTTGCCGGTGGCCATGGCAAGGGCGGCCCCGGTGGCACCGCCACCGAGGACCATGCTCCCCACCGACAGCTTGTCGCCGCCGGGGGGGTAGTAGCAAGTCGCGGACAGGGGCGAGGAGGGGACCGGTCCGGAGGCCCGGCGAAGCGCCGGGAAGGGCGGGCCCCCGCTGCCGGCGGTGAGTGGCGACCTCGGGGGCCCGGCCCCAAGAGCAACGTCCTCCGGGCTGTCACCCGGGTAGGGGGTCGGCGCACGCCACTGGGTGCCGGTGGGCGTGGAGAAATCCTCATCGTCGTCGTCATCGGCATCGCCGTCCCCATTGTCCTCGAGCCCCTCGGCGTAGTCGATAGCCGTGGCCAGAGGCGAGGAGGGGAAGCTGGTGTCGATGGACAGGCTGGAGACCGTGCTGCCGAGGCCCTCGACACAGTAGCCGCCGCCGCCGCCGCCGGGACCGGCAAGGGCCCAATAGGGCAGGGCGTCACTGCCGGCGGGGCTGCGCGGGGCGCCGTGGCAGGGCACGCCCCCGAGCGACTGGCTGCTGAGGGTACCATGGTGCGTCGCCATGCCCGGGCCCGGGGTCCCCCCGAGGCTGGTGGCGCTGGAGCCGGCCCCCACGGCCGACCTCCCCCCCGGGCGGATGCCCATCGACGAGAGGGACGCCGCTGAGGAGGATGACCGCGGCCGGCCCCGACGAGAGGATTCCAGCGAAAAAAGCGAGCTGACCGAGCTGCGGGCCGACCGGGCCAGAGCGCTGACGCCGCCGGACCGGCGGTCCGACTCGCGCCCGGCCTTGGCCTCGGGCCCGAGCGAGGGCGGAGGCGTGGACGATGAAAAGGCCCCGGCCCCCCCGGCCGTCGTCGTCGGCGCCGCCGATGACGACGATGACGACGATGACAACGACGACGAGGATGGTGGCAGCGGTGACGGCAACAGCAGCAGCCCCCCCAGGGACTCGGCCGAGGAGGAGTGCGACCCGACGCTGGAGATGCTGCTGATGGTTTGGGTGCTGCCGCCGCTCAGCGACAGCAGCGAGGCGCTCGAGGTGGCCGGACTCAAGGGATAGCCCCCCCCATGGCCGGGCGAGGGGTAGAAGGACTCGCTGTTGGAGGGGGTGATGAGGGCCTCGGCGCTGGCGGCACTGCCCAGCTGCGATGAGCCGCCGCTGCCCGGCCGCAGGAGCGACCCGCTGGAGGCCTGGATGGAGGCGCTGCGCTTGTGATGCGACGGGGAGAAGACACCGGCCAGCATGGGAGAGGTACTGCCAGTCGGGCCGCCATCCGCGGTGTGGGACCCGGTGCCGCTGGTGCCCATGAAGGAGGAGGAGGAGGAGGAGGAGGAGGAGGAGGAGGGAGGAGGCAGGGCCCCGGCCGAAGCGGGCAGACCCCCGGCCGAGCCACTCCCCTCCGGGCCGTGGGGGCCACCATGGGTGCCGGTGGCGGTGCTGGCACCGGGCCCGGAGCTGGCCGACCTACGGCCAGACCCGGCCCCAGGGGGCACATTCGGCGGGGTGGGGGGCGGAGTGGCGCACAAGCGCCCACCACCGGGAGCACCGGCGCCCGCCAGGAGAGCCTCGGCCGCGGCGGGCTCCGGCGTGACCGGCGTCCGGAGCATGGTGGCTTCATAGCCGGAACGATGGTGGTTCAGGCCATCGGCCGCGGCCAGGCTGGCCAGGCCGGCGTGCTGGGACAGGGGGCGTCGAGTGGGCCGGCCGACTCCGGCCGGTCGGGGGGCCGGGCGCAACTGACACTCGGTGCCGCCGCCATCCGCCTGCTCGGCCGATGGTGCCAGGAGTGGGGCCTGCTGGGCGGCGGACTGCTCCTCGACACCGGCGGCCCCGGCCTCGGCAGTGGAGGCGGTCGTCGTGAGGGCCGCCGCCGTCGCCACGGCCGCTGCCGCCGCCGCGGCCCCATTCCGACCGCGGAAGGCCAAGCTGCCGCCGCTGATGGCCCCCCGGCGGCAGAGCTCCGCCAATGGCGACGAGGGCGAAGACGCCGACGATGAGGAGGACTCGGCCCGGTTCCGGAGCCGGTAGAGGCAGGTCCGCATGCGGACATCCCCCACGCGAGTGAGGGCCCAAGTGCGCACGAGGCAATCCAGCTGCAGGACGATCTCCTTGAGGGCCGAGTCGAAGACGTCCGACGGTGGCGGCACCGGCGCGGCGTCCGCCTCGATCAGCTCGGCCAGGCGGTCAATGTGTGCCGCATGCGGAGCCAGGCAGTCGATGATCTGCTGCCGGCACCGATGATCGAGGTTGATCTCATTGGGTGCATTGCTGACGATGAAGTTGCTGTAAATGACGTAGGGGATGCGGATGCGGTCGCCCTGCGGGGCAAGCGCGCCAGCATGGCCACCCGGGTTGTCGGTCGAGGGGGGGCAGTGAGGCATGGGCATGTCAGGGAATCAGCGGGGCGGACGGGCGGGGGGCCAGGCGCGCATGCATCGGATGTGGTGGCATGCGCACCAGCGTCAGTTGGGGATGCCACTGTTGGTAGCGGATGACCCGGCGATAGAAGAGGGGGATCTCCGAGCAGAAGGAGGCGGTGCAGTATTCATCGAAGTCACGCATGGCGGCCTCGCCGAAGGCGTCGGAGTCCGGGCCGACTGACACCCGGACCAGGACCTCGAAGTTGCAGTGGCTGGGCTTCAGCGGCCCGGTCAGGCTGAGGGGCAGGCCGGCCACGGGCGCCGCGTCGAAGGTGCCGGTGTTGATGGTCAGACGCCCGGGCATCGGGCCCGACCGGGGTGCCGGCGCCGGCGCCGGCGAGAGGGTCGGCATGCCGAACCCGAGGCTGCTGCCGTCCGATGTGCCCCCGAGGCTGCGAGCGCTGGCCGAGGAGGAGCTCCGTTCGATCAACGGCAGCATGGGCATTGTCAACCCGGTGGGGCTGGCAGGCGTGCTGAGGCTCATATGCTGCATGAGACCGACAGGGGGAAAGGGAGGCGGGGGCGAGGGGGCGAGTGAGTCCATGCTGCGGAGGGCGCCGCGCGTGGGCGTGGGTGCATGGGCGCACGTACAGGGCGTGGAGTGTCTCCCCAAGTGGATGTGCTGGCAGGGGATAGAGGGGGCACTTGCACCAGCCGACAGCCAGGGGGGGAGGGCGGGGGAGAAGGGCGACAGAGGCTGGCACACGCGGCGGGCTAAAACGGCGGGCA